GTGGGGGGGGGGGGGTAGGGGGTTGGTTCTCATTTTATATATAAGTAGGTGGCCTTTGGTTCTCATTTTATTAGTTGTCTATAGTGAGGCCTCTCTTAGCATTCTCTCTCAAATTCTTCTCCCTGTCTCTCTTTCTTTGATCTAATAACAAAAAACTCTTTTGTTCCTCTCCTCAATCTATATAGCTCTAAATCAAGAAGATAATAATATTACTTTCCTGAACTTTGTTATAAATATATTTTTTCTTGAAATAATAATGGGGAGACAACCATGTTGTGACAAAGTTGGATTGAAGAAAGGTCCATGGACAGCTGAGGAAGACAAGAAGCTCATTGACTTCATTCTCAACAATGGCCAATGTTGTTGGAGAGCTGTTCCTAAACTTACAGGTCTATCTCATTTTTCTACTATGGAGCTATGTTCTTTAGTGGGCTAATTGTGAAATAAGGAAAAAGTGATCATTTGCACAAATGGCCTTTTTTTATGACTATTCTTTAAATTTGGGGAAGGAGAGCTTTTGGAGCGACGTAAAGTTGTCTCTATATGTTCTATAGGTTACGAGTTCGGCTATAGAAGCCGCCACTTATGTTTGCATTAGAGTACACTCCCCTAGGGGTGTGACCCTTCTCCAGACCCTGCATGAATACAACATACTTTGTGCACCGAGCGACCCTGCATGAATACAACATACTTTGTGCACCGAGCTGCCATTCTGTTAACTAAGTGAGTTAGATGTGTCTAAAAAAAAAGAATCATTCAATTACTTTTAAAAGAGAAATATATCCACTGGACAGACAGGGATAGAATTTAAAAAATAGCCTCAGAAAAGGTCATACAGTGCAAATATTCAATGAAAAAGTTTGGTCTCAATGATTGTTCCATTCCTATTGGTCCAATCTTGTTTCTCTTTAATGATTTGAAATGATAAACAATTTAATTAATTACTTCAGAAAAGGTTCTTTACCAGATAGTTTAGTAATTAATAGTAGTACTATTATTTTTATTTTTTCATTTTTTTGTGGGTGCTGAGTTTTTTATTATGTTGCAGGGCTTTTGAGGTGTGGAAAGAGTTGTAGACTAAGATGGACAAATTATCTGAGACCAGATTTAAAGAGAGGACTTTTATCAGAATATGAAGAAAAAATGGTTATTGATCTTCATGCTCAACTTGGCAACAGGTAAATTATTTAATTATCTTTGAAAAAACCATGCAAATTATTTCTCATACTTTTCACTTTTGGCATTTGCATATTTAAAAACATGAGTTTTGAAATTACTTTCATGTGGAGTTCATTAAAAGCAATTTTTTTTTTGTTCATGTATGTCCGAAGGTATGTTGAGCGGACTCTTCAAAATGTTGTCGCATTTTTGTCGGATTCTTCAAAAACACACTACTTTTGGAGGATTCGACACGCACCCGGCGATATTTTTGGAGAGTCCGACCAACACAACCGTGGTAAACAACAACTTTAACTCAGTTTCAGACACCAATTCTTCACGGTGTAGATTTCCGTGTCATTGTTATTATCAATTCTTTTTTTTTTCTTACCTATTTAAGACTCTTTTTACCCAAGTGGGAAAATGGACCCCTCAAATATTGCACTTCACAAGATACCAATATGCCAAACATAAAAAAAAAAAAAAAAA